TCTTTCTTTTGTTTGTACTTTAACTATGATGTAAGAATAAATTGTGTTTTGCTTCAAGCCTGGTAGTTTGACCAATTGAATTACATCTGGAACACAATGCTTTACACTTGCCTTTAAAGATTAAACAAAATTGGGGTCGAGACTGTTTTCTTAATCTATTTGGATAGGGCTTGGTCTGGTCCATAACAAGTTGGAGGCTTGTCTGGGATCAAAATCTCCAATTCCAGGTTTGGTTTAGGATTATTGGACTCAAAGAAAGTGAGTGATGAGTGTTGCTGTTCTCTTTTGGGTGTTGCATTCGGTTGGTAAATAGGGTGTGTCTCGTGTAATAATGGCTTTTTCAGTCACTGAGTTTCCTGGGGGTGGGAGGAGTTTTACATAAAGCAAGCAAGGCAAAGCTTTTGGTATTGGCAGACAAGCTGGAGTTGGGCAAAAAGGAGAGGTATTTGCAGCAGTAGCTCGATATATACCATTGCCAGAGATGCCAGTGGATTATTTGGCTAAAGAAATGTAAGCAGCTTAAACATGAAAAGGAAATGACACAGTTTGAATTATAATTGAAAAAAAAAACAAGGAGAGAAAGAGAGTTTTTCAACATCAGAGGTTGGAACTGAACACATAAAGTTGACTTAAAATAGCAGAGATAGAGGTAAAAAGTAGGAGTACTGATGTAGGCAGTGATGGAGAACAATCCCATCATCGCTAAAGGCCCAGTGGGGATCTGTTTAAATATGTCCAAGCATTGCCTAAGTTCGACAAGAAGGGCATAGAAGCCTTTTTCATTTCATTTAAGAAAATAGCTAAACAAATGAAATGGCTGGTGACCATGTGGGTTTTGTTGATCCAAATAAAGTTGATAGGTAGTGAGATATTTGCATCACTGTCAGAGAAGGTATCTGGTGAATATGAGGAGGTGAAAAAAACCATCTTAAACGCATACGAGCTAGTAGCAGAAGCCTACAGACAATGTTTTAGGAATTTAAGGAGGGAAACTGGTCACACTTACATTGAGTTTGAAAGGATCAAACAAAATAACTTTGATAGATGGACAAGAGCATTGAAAATAGATCAGGCATATGATGCTCTTAGAGACAATTATTTTGGAAGAGTTCAAAAATTCACTTCCTGAAGTTGTGACAATTCATGTGGAAGAATAGAGAGTTAAGATTAGTAACAAAAATGGCAGATGATTACGAGTTAGTTCATAAATCAAAGTTTGGCTTCCAACATCAATTTCAATCTGTGAGGGATAGAAACTGGGGAAAAGAGAAATCCTCAGGTGATAAGGGAAAAGGAGATATCATTGAAGACAGTAAAGTTAGGTGTTTTCACTGTAGTGAAGTCTCAGTGTTGGTTTAGAGAAAGCACTGGGAAGAGATGTGGGAAATAGGATAAGCCAATGAGTTTTGTTGAATTGGTAAAGGAAGCCACAATGGAAGCTAAAAAGCTGTACCAGAATGTACAAGGGCTTGGTTGAGAAGAAAGTGCTAGATCTCTTTACAGAATTTACCTGAGTGGTTAAGGTTTACTCATGTGGACCAGAAGGAGTAACTTCAAATTAAAAGCTACAAGAGCAAGTCAATCCTTAGTGAGAGATGAGAAGATATGTAATTCAGACAGAGTATTGCCAGAAAAGGTGGTAATATGTGGAATTCGCAGTAAGAACAGCAGTGTTCGTTATGTAAAGTGAGATTGGAGAGTCCAGTGAAAAGTGGTGAAGTGGTGGTAGAAATAATAAAGAATTCTTTGTTCTGAAAATACAGTACCTTGGTGAGGATACAGCTGGATCACAGCTGGGAGTGATGTCTACAGTGGTTAAAAAGCCAATGGAAAATCAAACAACTGAATTGTTATATTTTGGGATTTTCCTGCGTGGTAACAAGGTCACAAAGCCACAGGTTGAAGCAGGAGGCAAAATCAAAGAGTAAATATAAGGAAGTTGAAGTTCAATTACCAGAAACTATGTTTGATCAAATGGCTGAGAAAAATACAAGAAACAGGTGGAGGACAAAATGGGTTTTTTTTAGTTCAGGGAAGCCAGCTGAATTACAACAGAAAAAACAAAAGGAATTGTATCAAAAAGCTTACACAGAAGAATCTGAGTGTATCCCAGAGTGTTACTATCTTAAATATGAAGTCTTGATGAGGAAATGGAGACCATCATGTATTCAGGCAGATGGGAAATGGGCAGAAGTTCATCAAAGGTATTATCGGTGAGTCATAGAAAGAAGGTGATGCGGGTAACACATGAGGTACCAGTAGGAGATCACTTGGGAGTAAGAAAAACTCAAGCCAAAATGCAAAATGCATTTCTATTGGCCTAGACGATATATGGATGTGTTGAATTTTGCCAGTCATGTCATACATGTCAGCTAAAAGGAAAACCTCAGACAGTAGTCTAGACTATCTTCTTAATATATTTTGAGGGGGTTTAGTCTGGTCCATAACGGCAGCTACAAGTAGGATATTTCTAATCACAGTTGAGGAGTCTGTTACACAGTGAATTCCACTCTAACTCCTTCCAATGAACAGTAAAAAACAGATTGCAGAAATTTTGAAAAACTTGTGCTGTGAATCCCAAGCGAACGTAATTTATGAACAGTACATGTTCAATATCACAGCTCAAATTGAAACGGAGCCCATTGATAGATATGTGACTATATTAACATAGCTCACATGTCTTATGAATTCAGGCACCTGAAAGATGATCCTATCAAAGATACAATTATTTTGGGAATGAGAGATCCTACCATGACAGTGCAACTGCTAAGAGAAAGGTATCTAACTCTCAAAGAAGTTATAAATAATGTGCAGAAGCTCTGAGCTTGCAGATCAACAGCTACAGCATAGACACAGGAGGACAGAGGATATGGGGAAAAGCCCAGACCTGCGCATTCCTTGATAAGCAGCTTAGACCTACCCACTGTGTTGCAACACGGTCTATACCTTTCAAGTGCAAAAATGTGGAGAAAAGCAATAACTATTTATAGAAGGACCAACAAAAAGAACGAAGTCCCTGGACAAATTACAAATATTGTGGTCATCACAGAAGACAAAAGAAAGTGCATCAGGCATCAGGAAACAGTGCTTTATCTTCAAGAAGCTGAACTATTCTACATGCAAGTGTTTAGCTAGGAAGTAGACCAAAAACCATAAAGGTAATAACCACAAAGGTATCAAGACAATGATTTGGATAAATCAATTGTGGCACCAGAGAGATTGTTGGATGAAGCTTTGGACAATTCAATCAATACCTTTGAGCAGGTTGGCAACATCAAATCTAGAGGAGTAAAATGAAAACAATTATAATGAAAACAGCTGAGCGAGATAATCAAATTAATACAAAGTGCTAAATAGACACTAGTGCTTCCTGAAACATTATGAGCTTTAAGGAACTATGTGAAGTTACAACAGATGGGAATCCAAGAATGAAACCTTTGAAGGTAAAGTTGAAGGAATGATGCTCAGTCTGACAGGATAAATTAATCTGAGAGCCTGATGCTTGGCAAGATATACAATCCAGAATTCCACATCTCAGCAGAAATAAGTCAAAAGCTAAACCCTCCAGAAGGGATTGACAATGTTTCATAGGCCAGATCAACTGATAGACAGACAAAGAGACAATACAAGTCAGAGAGGATCTGATTGCCGAAACAATGAAATCTTGAAGCTGAAGTCGCAAAATGACATGATTGCATTGTCAGACACAGGAAATGCAACTGAATGAAAGATGTGTTTAAGGCAACAGTGTAGATCAGTAAAGTCAGCTGAGAAGATTTTGAAACTGAATCATTATTCTAACCAGCAGATGTTGGATAAAAAGCCAACAACCTGCATGTGTGCCATCACAAAATCCAACCACTTTAAAGATTGTGTGCGTAGAGACCAAAAGAAACAGAGTAACTACAGTAATGAACACTTTGTGGAGGTGGAATGGAGTACTGAACAGGAAATCAGTTGTTTGCAAAGTGGACAAAGTGGTTAATTCACAGCCTAAAACAATTGTGCAAACTAAAATAAATTTATGTGCACTAAAAAGATGTTTGGATGGAAATTGCATTAATGTGTTTCCTGGCTTGTCTCAGTTATGTGACCTCTGCCATGACAAACTCACTAGAGGCAGTCATCTTACAATCAGTTCAATAATGACAAAGCACAAACTAGGTAAGGTGAGACTGGATCAGTCAGGAATATATTCACTGAAGTTTAGAAAAATGATGAGGGGGCTCTCAAAAAAACCTATAACATTCTAACGGGACCAGAAGGGTAAATGCAGGAAGGATGTTCCCAATGACCGGGAATTCAGAACAAGGGAACACAGTCTAAGGATATGGGTTAGGCCATTTAGGACTGAGATGAGGAGATATTTCTTCACCCAGAGAGTGGTGGGCCAGTGGAATTCTCTGAGACCGGAAGTGTTTGAAGCCAAAGAACTGAATGTTTTCAAGAAGGAGTTAGATATAGTTCTTAGGTCTAAAGGGATCAAAAAGGACGAGGAGAAAATGAGAACAGGGTATTGAGATGGCTGATCAGACATGATCAAATTGAATGGTGAAACAGGCTCATAAGGCTAAATGGCCTACTCCTGCTCCTATTTTCTATGTCCCTGTGTTTCTAGACATGTCCTGTGAACTCAGAACATAAGCCTCCTCCCACAGTACTTCAGGGGGAAGTGCAGGAAGAGGCCTCCATCCCTGGGCTCCTTCCAGAGTTACTCATTTTGCAAAATACTGACTGCCCCAGGTCCCCACACACTGCAGTCAACTTCCCACTAACCCTTCAGATGTTTTAGTCATGAATTCAGCCAGTTGATGAGGTCAAGCCATTAAAGTTGACCAGATTTTCTGCTGGCCCAAGGTAGGCTGAATTCTCATCCAGGATGTTATTCCCTGTAGGAGAGACAAGACAGTTCTTCTTCAGACTGACTCTATAAGAGATTATTTGTGAGAACAGAGTCTGAAGCATGAATGTTACAAAATGTGTGACGATTGTAAATCTACTTTAAACTAGAAGAAAGGTTACATCTTTCCAGAATCAACTTTCGGGCTTTGTGTTTCTGATTGTCCCCTTTTAGTTTCTGGGTCTGTCTTGTTCTGCTCTACACACGATTCATTCAATAAATGAAGGAACTGATTATTGTACCATAGATTTTGAAGGCATAAATAGCTTTGAGCTCTCTGGGAGCCATTTCACTAAGCACCGAGAACATGTCCACAAAGTCATTAAAGCTCAGATTCCCAGCACCATCCTCCGAAAAGGTCTTCACTATTTGCTCCTTGAATGGATTCTCCTGTGAAAACAAACATGTTGAGTTTTTAAACAAAAAGAAACACTTCGCGTTTGTCTCTCCCCAACACCCCCCATGATATTCCTTACTGGGTTTACTCTGAAAGGGTTAAACATCCAGTTCTTTTCTCTCACTAGCCTCACAGTAATCCTTCACAAGGGTTAATATCCCATTCTCACTCCTCATTACAGACCCACAGCATTGTCCTAACAACTAATTTTGTTGTGAAGGCTGATGGAAAACATTCAGCATGTGAGATATACTCAAAATCCCCACATGTCCAGAAGCCCAATTCCTTCCAGATGATTTCTTTTTTAGAAAGCAATAAAACTGAAAAATGTAAGTTCAAGGAGAAATAAATTAAGTAAAGGAACATGACCCCTGCATTCGCCTTCACAGCAAGTAATTAAAACATAATCTTCAATATGTAGGGCTGAATTTTACAAATTTTTGACTAAGTATCAGTCACATTGAGTTTTTTGGAGGGTACCTCACTGAGAGGCCAGGCGAGATTGCTCACTGTATCTTACCAAATCATCACTATGCACCCAACCCTATGGTGTCCTTCATGTTCAATTCTATTCCCATCTTATCACATGCTGTTCCTGGAACAACTTGCCTTCAGCCAATATCTGCCAAAAGAGCAGTGTTCCTTATGCCAACATCATCTTTGAGAGGCCACTGTGCAGCCCAACAAGTAATCCAGTGTTGCCATTCACTAATGGCACAGCAGCTACAAAAGCCACACTGTCCACAGCACATAGTCAGCACGCTTACATTCCCTCACACATAGAGCCCCATTCTCTCACGCTAGCCATTGTTTAACCCCCAAGTCACACAGTTTACCCGTCCTTACTGACATCTTGTTGAAACAACCTTGCTAAGTCACTGCTACCGGGTCTCCAATGCTCACTGGACATCTGCAGCATGGATAGCTGGTAGTCCAGAAAAGGAACATCACAGACAGGCAAGCAAACATGAGCTTTCATTTGCAGGAAACAAAGACATTGGTAGCTGCAGATCATGCGCACAATGCTAACCAAATGCAATAACTATTTAACATTCCGTGATGGTCTACTATACCCTGCTCTTATTGACTGCAACAAGGTATCAATTAGGTCCTGTCTGGCTTGCCGTGCCCAATGCAGCTGAGCTCTGTAATACACAAGGATAGCTTCCTCTTCTCCATGTGTTCATTGTCCTCCATGGAATATTGCTCCCACTTCCCCAGTTCCTCAACATCCAGCACATCACCTTATTGCCTGCTCCAGAGTAAAACCTGCCAGGCCAGCACACTTTGTCCAGACAATACACAAGCCCCCCACGCTCCCCACAACAACCTCCACTGGACCTGTCCCAGCAGTGGATCCATATTCCCCCCTTGCCCATGCCCCACTATGACATTCACTATTGGATTTGTTCTGAAAGGTTAAGCTTCTAGTTCCATTCCCCATTGCTTGCTTCACCATGACGCTGGCAAAACATGGGCACTATAGTAATTGTAACAAGGTCAGCCAGGTGGACCCATAGAAATATGAGTTCCCTGTTTGAAGCTGTTAACCTGGCCCAATCAGGGAGCCCCGGCTGACAGATATAAACAGGAGTGTCATATAAACAGATACAAGGAAAAAGGGCTTCAGCCAAAGAGTGGTGAATCTATGGAATTCACTGCCACAGAAGGCTGTGGAGGCCGGGTCATTGAGTATATTTAAGACAGAGGTAGATAGGTTCTTGATTGTCAAGGCGCTCAAGGGTTACGGGGAGAAAGTGGGAGAATGGGGTTAAGAAACTTATCAGCCATGATTGAATGGTGGACCAGACTTGATGGGCTGAATGGCCTAACTTCTGCTTCTATGTCTTATGGAGTGTCAGAGGTTCTGTTCACTCTGAGAGCTGGCTCTGAGGAATCTGGACCAGTGTCAAGTACTATGCACGTGTAAATAAAGAGTGACTTGGTGATGGGATACCAGCCTCTGTGGAGTTATTTCGGTGGTGACGAGAGAAAAAATATGCTCCTGAAGAAATCACTCACCACAGTCATCTTTGAATTGGGGTAAGCATTTGTGGCATCATGCCGTTATTTGGGAAGCTTGACTTGTTTGACCCTATTATCAAAGACTGGACCCAATACGGGGGAAAGAATGTGTTATTTTTTCTGGGCAAATAACATTGGGGCAGATGAAAATCAACGAGTAATTCTCCTGACAGCTTGTGGACCCACAGCCTTTTTAGTTATTAGGAGCCTAACATTTCCTGTGGTAACAAGTACTAAAACCTTTCAAGAGTTGACAGATTTAGTTAATGAATATTACAACCCTAAGCCTCCTCCAATTTTGAGACACTCACCTGTTTTACTCACCTGTTCGAGAACCAGGGAATCCATGTAGGGATTTTTGATAAGGTTAAGGCAACAGGCATGTGACTTTGGTTTAACCCTAAATGAGATGCTGAGAGACCATTCAGTATGTGGGATTAATGACGGAACCATGCAAAAGTGCCTTTTTTTTCTCTCTTTATTCATTCACGAGATGAGGGCATCACTGGCTAGGCAGCACTTATTGCCCATCCTTAATTGCCCAGTGGGCAGTTAAGTGTCAACCACATTGCTGTGGGTCTGGAGTCACTGTAGGCTAGACGAGGTAAGGATGGTAGTGTCCTTCCCTAAAGGATATTAGAGAAGGAAACTGCCACTGCGGAAGCCCAACTGCACTTCAAACATGCGCTACAACTGGCTTTGTCATAGAGTCTTACGGTATGGAAATAGACCCTTAGATCCAAACAGTCCAACCCAACCATAATCTTAAACTAAACTAATCCCACCTGCCTGCGCTTGGCCCATATCCCTCCAAACCTTTCCTACTTCTGAACTTATCCAAATATCTTTTAAACATTGTAATTATACCTGCATCCATCACTTTGTCTGGCAGTTCATTCCATACACATGAATTACTCTCTTTGCAAAACAAGTTGGTCCTCGTGTCCTTTTTAAATCTTTCTCCTCTCACCTTAAAATTATGTCTTCTTATTTTGAACTCCCCCCACCGTAGGGGAAAGACCCTTGTCATTTACGTTATCTATGCCTCTCATGATTTCATAAACCTCAATAAGGTCACCTCTCAATCTCTACGCTCCAGTGAAAAATGTCACAGCCTTTCCAGTCTATTTTTATGTTCAAACTCTCCATTTCCAGCAACATCCTGGTAAATCTTTTCTGAGCTCTCTCTAGTTTAACATCTTTCCTATAACATCACACAGCACTCCAGAGGAGGCCTCACCAATATCCTTTACAAGCTCAACATGACATCCCAACTCCTTTACTCAAAGGTCTGAGCAATGAAGGCGAGCATGCTTAACACCTTAACCACTCAGTCAACCTGTGATGCAAATTTCAAAGAACTATGTACTTCTAGGTCTCTATATTCTAGAACATTACCCAGGGCCCTATCGCTTATTGCATAAGACCTGTCCTTCTTTGTTTTACCAAAATGCAATAACCCACATTTATCCAATTTAAACTCCACCTGCCACTCTTCAGCCCACTGACCCAATTGATCAAGATCTCTTTGTAATCTTAGATAACCTTCCTCACTGTTCACAATACTACTAATTTTGGCATCAGCTGCAAACTTACTAATCATACCTCATATATTCTCATCCAATTCATTTATATAAATGACAAACAAAATGGGATCCAGTACCAATTCCTGTAGAACACCGCTGGTCACAAGCCTCCAGTCCGAAAAACAACCCTGCACCACCACCCTCTGTCACCTACTATTAAGCCAATTTTGTATCCAATTGGCAAGCTCACCCTGAATCCCATGTGATCTAACTTTACTGATTGGTCTGCCATGCAGAACCTTGTCAAAGGCTTTACTAAAGTCCAAGTAAACAATGTCTACCACCCTGCCCTCATCAATCTTTTCGGTTACATCAATAAAAAACTCAATCAAGCTTATGAGACACAATTTTCCTCGCACAAAGCCATGCTGACTATCACTAATCAGTCTTTGCCTCTCCAAATGCATGTAAGTCCTATTTTTCAGAATCACCCCAACAGGCTTCTCCTTACAGCCTTTCTTAAACAATGGAACATCATTATCCACCTTCCAGTCCTCTGACAGTTCACATATATTTATAGACGATACAAATGTTTCTGTTAAGGACCCTGCAATTTCCTCCCTAGCTAAAATATGGAGCATATGAGTTACAGGACTTCCTCATGGAAGTGGCCATCCTCAGAAGGCCAACCGACCTTGGGGAACATCACTTGAATAAAGTCAACTGCATAGCCTCACCAAGGACAGATCCTGAACAGAGGGACTCTAGATCAGCCCACATCAAAACCCTAAAACAAAGCCAAGCCTTAGCTAAATAGTTAACATTTTCTTCAGGATCCAGGCTGGCAAGTCATTGTAGTTGCTGCCAGTATGCAGACTCAGGACAGCAAAAGAGTCCCATTAGGCCTAAATTAAGTCAGAGAAATTCATAGGCTGGTATCCAGGAGAGTGCATGCCCTGGAAAAGCCTCCTACATCTGGCTTTGCAACATCCAAATTAGAACCAATCAAAATAAACATTAGGCTAAATGGTCACACGGTTCTAATGGAGGTTAATACTGGCATGGTTATATCAGTGATTGCAGAAACAGCCTTTAAGAAAATTTGCTCTGGACTCCAACCCTTAAGTTTGTGTAAGACCTCAGCTAGACTGAGAACCTATCCTGGGGAACCTTTGTTTTGGGGCAGCATAATGGCTCAGTGGTTAGCACTGCTGCCTCACAGCACGAAGGACATAGGTTCCATTGTACCCTCGGGCGACTGTCTGTGTGGAGTTTGCACATTCTCCATGTGCCTGAACGGGTTTCCTCTAAGTGCTCTGGTTTCCTCCCATAGTCCAAAAATGTGCAGGTTGCTTGGATTGGCAAGAGTAAATTGCCCATAGTGTCCAGGGATGTGCAGGCTGGGTGGATTAGCCAATGGGAAACGCATGGTTACAGTGCTAAGGGTGGGTCTGGGTTGCTCTTCAGAGGGTTGGTATGGACTCGATGGGCTGAATGACTTGCTTCTCCACTATAACGATTTATGATTCTATTCTATGATTAAGGGTACATCTTCGGTTCCAGTCTCGTATGAGAAGCAGCCGGTTCAGTTACCACTGACTGTAGTAAAATGTTCAGGCCCAAGCTTGATGGAGTGAAAGTGGTTGAGAAAGATTGGCTCATGTTGAAATTTCTCGATGCCTGTGTGTTTGGTAAAATAAGGAGCTGAATATTAATTGAGGCAAGTTGTGCCATTGTTAAGGTTTTAAATGAGCAATAATCCTCTTAATTATCATCTCACAATACCCAGTGAGCAACTTGCCATGTCACTCAGCAGATGCATAAAAGATGCAGCACATTGCTCCCAATGTTGAGGTAGGTTTCGCTGGACTTCTGATAGAACTCACATCACTCAGACTCCTCTAAGATTCTTCCTGAAGTAACAGTTTTTAACTTGATTCAATGGAATTTTTAGTGTGCCCTGCATTGGGTTATGTCCTATTTGGGGATTGGACAATTTTGACCAATTGGAGCAAGTTCCTTAGCAAGAGGGAAGATTGTAATTGAGTTGTTATTAGGCTTGGGCTCTGTTAGTTAGATCATTCAGTGGGTAACTCCATGGACAGAAGTTAATGCTCTCTGCAAGTCATCCCCATGCTCCATTTCCACCTGTGAACCTGTTAAGTCAGGGGTGTCAAGGCTCATAGACAGCCATTCAATTGGGCAATTATCACTGACGGCGCAGTTGTCACACTTGCAGCCTGACAAATTCACCCTCTCATGTTTGCCTTAGAAATCCCAGAAGCTGGGGTGGGTGTTCCCTCATTCAAAGACACTCAGTGCCTTATCAACGGTTCATCATCAAGAGGGGTGGAGGGTGCTCTGAAAGCCATGTCCCCCACACCCCCCACTCCTAGCCCTGACCCTACTTGCAACCCTTACGCCACCCTTCATTCTCCTGGTGCCGGGGTTCCCCAGGCTTCTCCGCCAGTGATTGGCTGGCAGCAAACACAACTCCCCCATTAATTGGCTGGCAGCAACAAATGCTCCCCATTAATTGGTTGGTATTTGCCAGGGCAAGATCTTCAACCTCAGGGACACAGATCCCTTACGGGTCTCAAGGGCTCTTAATACACAGGCCTTCCTCAAAGGTGACAGGGCTGTCTCCAGTGCAGATACATAGAGGTGGCAGTGAAGTTGGTCCCAGTATGAGTTCAGGTGGCATCAGCAGCTGCTGCATCAGTGAGGTAGGCCTAAAGTGGACTCATGGCAGGGGTGGAGTCAGAGTAGAGTTTGGAGCCAGTTTGGTACCTAGTAGCATTGGTGACATCTATATTGGTGTAGTCATAGCAGCAAGGGTGTTGGTGAAGGTGAGATAGTGCCAAAGAGTGACAACTTTTGTTCCACCGGCAGTGTGGCAAAGGGAATTTGTGCCTGGCCACCAGGCCTGGGCTATGACAGAGCAATTCACACAAAGGACTGTAAAGTTGGACACTTTCTTTATTTCTTCATTTTTCTGCCTTCATATTCTGTTTCAGTTTATTTTTCTGTGTTTTAAGATGGTGTGGTGAGTGGCAAATCTATTCAACCCTTTTCACTGTATATTGTAACAGGATACACATGACAATTAATAAATCAAATATTTAACCTTTGCGCAAAAGACTGGAATACTCCAGATCTATGCTTAGATGATGTTGAGTGCATTCAAGTGGTGGTAAAAAATTAGCAAGGGGAAAAGGGACATGTAGAGAAACTTCTTTACTCAGAGTTGTTAGGATTTGGAATGTGCTGCCTGGGAGAGAGTTGGAGGCAGTTTCCATGGGAAGTTTCAAAAGAACTGGATATATATTTCAAAGTGATAAACTTAGAGGGCCATGGAGATAGTACTGGAGAATAGGACTAACTGGGTATCTTTTTCAGCATCTGGTAAAGACACGATGGGTTGAATGGCCACATTCTTTATTGTAAAATCCTATTAGCTATGGTTGGTTTACCCCTCTCTTAGAATCTTTTCTCCTTACAGGCATGTATTTTTGCTGAGTCATAAATTACCTCCTTAAATATCTGCCATTGCTTGTTAACTGTCAGGGGTTGGGTTAGCTCAATTGGCTGGATGGTTAGGTTTGCAAAGCAGTGTGATACCAACAGTATGGGTTCAATCCCCAGACTGGCTGAGGTTACTATGAAGGACTCTCCTTCTCAACCTCTCCCCACACCTGAGGTGTGGTGGCCCTCAGGTTAAATCACTTCCAGTCATCTCTCTTCAATGGAAGAGCAGCCCTATGGTCTGGTAAAACTATGGCAAGCTGACTTTTTCACTGTCATTCCTGCTAATCTATCTGCCCTGTCCACTTTAGCCAATTCTATCCTCATTTCATTGTAATTCCCTTTATTTCAGTTAAACAAAGTTGTTTCTGGCCCAAGTTTCTCACTCTTGAACTGAATATCATATTATAATCATTACTTCCAAGGAGATCTTTTACTCGGAGGTCATTTATTAATCGTGCCTCATTACCCATTACCTGACCCAGGTTAGCCTGCTCCCTTGTTGGCTCCATGACATAAGAGTCATAGTCATAGGGATACATAGCATGGAAACAGACCCTTCGGTCCAACTCGTCCATGCTGATCAGATATCCTAAATTAATTTAGTCCCATTTGTCAGCATTTGGCCCATATCCCTCTAAGCCCTACCTATTCAAAAACACATCCAGATGCTTTTTAAATGTTGTAATTGTACCAGCCTCCACTACTTCCTCTGACAGCTCATTCCATAAACACACCACCCTTTGTGTGAAAAAGTTACCCCTTAGGTCCCTTTTATGTTTTTCCACTCTCACCTTAAACTTATGCTGTCTGGTTTTGGAGAGCGGGAAAAGACCTTGTCAATTTATCCTATCCATACCCTTCATGATTTTATAAATCTCAAAAAGGTCACCCCTCAGCCTCCGATGCTTCAGGGAAAATAGCACCAGCCTATTTAGCATCTCCCTATAGCTTAAACCCTCCAACCCTGACAACATCCTTGTAAATCTTTTCAGAACCCTTTCAAGTTTTTGCTCTAGCAAACTATCCCTAATGCACTTTATGAAATCATTGTTGTAGATACCCTTTCCAATTTGATTAACGCAATTAACATGAATAATAAAGTCACCCATAAGTATTGCTCTATACTTTTTACATGCTCCTATCATTTGATGATTGATAACTTTCCCATCCCTCCTGTCTCTCCGAAAGGTCAAACATTCCTCAATGTTAAGTTTCCTGTTTTGATCTCTTTGTAGCCATGTTCCGTTATGGCTATGAGATCATATTCATTTACCTGTATTTGTGCTGTCAGTTCGACTACCTTATTCTGAATGCTTTGTGCATGAAGATATACAGCCTTTAAGTTTGAATCAGAGATAGTAGAAACTGCAGATGCTGGAGAATCCGAGACAACAAGGTGCAGGGCTGGATGAACACAGCAGGCCAAGCAGCATCATAGGAGCAGAGAGGCTGACATTTCGGGCCTAGACCCTTCATCAGAAAAG